ATTTACCAAGATTAAAACTTAACTTTGAGCCTCAAAAATGGCTTAACTCCTAAAATGACTGTGCAAAAAAGAGTTAACACAGCAGGCCTGAAACTGCTCTCCTCAGAAAGGGCTGTTTGTAACACTGGCGCTTGGCTAGACTCTGGGAATTTGGATACTAGAAGAGTTCCCACCTCCCTAACTACTAAGAGGGACTCACAGTGCCTGAACTGTACAATGTGATTTATGCTGAACACCTGCTTTCCTTCTGAGGGTCTGGAATTTGGTACCTGCCAGGATGGTAGGAAGACTATGTGACCAGCCCCCAATAAAAACTTTGGGCATTGACTCTCTCTCTAATGAGCTTCTCTGATAGATGACATACCACACATGTTATCACAATTCTGCTGGAGGAAATGTGTCCTTTGTGACCCTACAGGGAAAAGACTCTTAGAAGCTTGTGCCTAGTTTTCTCCTGACTTCATCCTATGCACCTTTTCCCATTGCTGATTTTGCTTGGTATCCTTTCCGTGTAATAAACCATAATTGTGGGGACAACTACATGCTGAATTATGTGATGTCTTCCTAGTGAATCATCAAAGTTGTAGTACGGAAGACATCTGACACTTTAATCCACTTCTTAATTCGTATCACCAAACATCTACCCTAGTAAAAGAACCCCATATTCCTATATTTTAATCTTCCCAAGTTCCACTCCAACCCATAATTCTCCCAGCCCTGGCCTTATCCAGTCAATTTTCTACAATTATCACGATCACTCAGGTTAAGATAACCATCAGCTCTCTATGTATCAGTGCTTCTGTAACTGGGGTGAATATGCTCCAAGAGACAGCAGCAGGTTTTTTTTTTTTTAATATAAAAATGTTCATTTCCTAAATCTTTTAGTAAAAATAGCATTCCCACGCACTTCTCCATATTGAGCCTCATTTTACTTGATCTTTCTGCAAGGGTAGAAGCTGCAGAGCACTCCTTCTATCTGCCTATAAGCTGTTTCTTCCACCAAATAGCCTTAAATGTCAGTGTTCCACGGGTCTCCATGTTCCACCTCTTTCACCTCACTTCCCACAGACCATTCCATTTACTTCCCTAACTTGAGCTTCTACCTACAATCCATACATCTTTGCCTTCAGCTCTGTCACCTGTCCTAAGCCCCAGAATCTTACCTCCAAACACCTACAAGATAAATATATCTATGGATCCTACTGATCGCTCAGACTAATAGTCTTCTTGATACTTTTGTTCAAAAAGATCATCTAGGTCTGTTTGCTTCACAATTCCATTGGTATGTCTACAGTTACTATAGCACAGCAATCCGAAGTTATAGAAGACTATTTGAATTTTTTCCTTAACATGTTTTTTTGGTATTCCAGCCTACACTATTCCTATTTAGTAGTTTACTATCACAGTAGAGCCTGGTGCAAAGCTATGCACACACCAGCCATTTAATAAATCTTCATTCAACAAATTAATATTGTCATCCATCTATCAGACCTACAGTAAACAGAATGGAACACAATGCTGGTAACCCAGCTGCATGTAGAAATGTCACTGCTGGTAATCTCAATTTATTAGTTCTATATGAATCAAAATTTTCAAAGAACGGTTTGGAATAACCAGCTAGCCATTTAAGGGATAAAATGTGTATGAAGGTTTAAACTTTAAAAATTAAATCATTTAAGAAAAAAAAAAAAAGAGGGGGTAGTTGCTGTAGGAATGTCCAGATAAGGATGGCAGACTGAACATACATAGGTTTCATTCCTCCCTGAAACTGTACAAAGATGAAAATAAAGGAAATTACTTTTCATTTTTTTTTAAGGCATAAACTTACAAGGATGGAGAGGATAGAAAAGGAGAAAACAGCAATAGAATTGAACAAGCTAGAAAGTGATAGACCAATGGTGACTAACTTAATAGACCGGAGAAACCAGAATCTGAGAAGAACAACAGAGCTAAACCCAGCCCATTTTACATCCCATTTTATACCACTGGACTCCTAACAGGATCAGAAAATGAAGAAATCTGGGACATCTAGAAATGGAGATGTGAAAGGAGACCTAAAATAAAGTCAACTGGTTTAAAGGCTACCTGAGAGACAGTTAGAGCTCCACAGCTTCATTCCAACTCTGGCAGCCCAGCCCCCAACCTGACCAAAAAGAGGTAGTTTATTCTCTGGAGATGATAAAACAGAGGTCTCCGGACTACAAGTCAACAGACATAGCTGAGAGCAGAGCCACAGTGCCACAAACAGAGGATGGAGGCCAGCAACCAGAAAGTGATATAACAGTGGAGCGCAAAATTGGAACTTTTAGAAGTCTACTCCGATGGAGGACATCCCTGCCTAAAAGGTGCTCAGGTGGTGAAGTGGGGCAGAATCCTAGGTGAGACACTGCAGTCTCAGGATCCCTGAGTTCACATAAAGAACGGGGGTGCCTGAGTACAGCAGAGTTCCCAGATATCAATGCAGGAAAAGCGGCTGTAATCAGTGAGCCCAGGAGTGGGCTTTCAGCCCAGTGTTGCCATAAACCACAAATCCTGGCACTATCCGAGCAGGGGCCCACCAAGTGGCAGAACCACAGTGAAACCCCCGTTGCCCTGGGACAAGCAGCTTGCCACAGCAGTCTGCAGGGTTAGGAGACCCAAGACAGGGTCGCATGCCTGAGATAAAAATGCTCGATCACAGGCTGTGTGAGCAAGGAGTGTGGATGGAGACCAGAGAAACAGGAGTGATTGCTTTTCCTGAGGGCTCACTGAAGAGTGGGGGGGCGTGAGCTCTCAACTTTAGGACTAGAGATTGGGAGGCCGCCATTTTGATTCTCATCCTCAAAAACAATGCAGAAAGCCTTTAAGGGTACAAAAGTCACATACAGCAATGCACAGCCACTTACTTAGGTGCCCCCCCTCCCACCCCACGCAGAGGCGGTGCAATTCTGCATGGGGCAGACACCTGAGAAATCAGCGCAACAGTCCCCTGCCCCCAGGAGATAAGCAAAAACATCTGGGTAAGAGCAAGTTTACTGATCACACAGAACTGCAAAACACCAATGCAAGAGGGAAATAGTATATAGAATTCATGTTTTTTTTCTCATGATTCTGTAGCCTTTCAATTTTAATTATTTTCTCTTTCCTTTTCAACCAACCTACTGAGCAGGGAGCCTGATGTGGGACTCAATCCCAGGACCCTGGAATCATGACCTGAGCTGAAGGCAGACACTTAACCATCTGAGCCACCCAGGCGTCCCTTATTCTTTTTTTTTAAGTCTTATTTAATTTTCATCTTTATAGTTACATTTTTTTTAAAGATTATTTATTTATTTGAGAGACGGACAGAGAGAGAGAGGGAGAGAGCAAAAGCAGGGGAGGCAACAGGCAGAGGAAGAGGTAGAAGCAAACCCCCTCCTGAGCAGAAAGCCCAATGCAGGACTCAATCCCAGGACCCTGGGATCATGGCCCCAGCCAAAGGCAGACACCTAACTGACTGAGCAACCCAGGCGCCCCTTTACAGTTACATTCTATCCTTTCATTGTATTTAGGTTTTTATATATATATAAGATTTTCTTTCTTTACAATTTTGAGATGCAGTTTGTTCTAAGAGATCAAAATACACCCAGAATCTAGAGTATTATTCTGTTCTCTTCAGCTGTCTGGTTATATTCTCTATTGTTTTATTAAAGTCTTTTTTAACTTTCATCTTTACAGTTATATGCCATCCCTTCATTGTATTTAATTTTGTTTTTGTATGTGTGCATGTATGTATGCACGTGCATATGTGTAAGTTTTCCTTTCGTTACAATTTCCTAACAAACAGACCAAAAGACACCCAAGATATAGTGTATCACTCTGTTCTGTTCACCTGTTTATAGTCTTTCTTTTTTCTTTGTCTTTTAATTTTCATTTTCACAGTTATAGTCTATCCTTTCATTGTATTTAATTTTCTTTTTGTACGTATATAAGTTTTTCTTTCTTTACAATTTTGGGATCTAGTTTTCTAACAAACAGACCAAAATACACAGAGGGTCCAGTGTATTACTCTGTTCTGTTCACCTGATTATATTCTCTCTTTTCTTTTCTCAATTTTTCTTTTTTTTTTTTTTCCAGTTTTGGCTCCCTTCTGATATGATTAGTGTGTATTTCTCTGGAGTCGTTGTTGCGATTTTAGCATTTTGTTCTCTCCATCATCTATTCTCTGGACAGAGTAACAGGACAAAAAAACTAATCTCAAAAAAGAGAAGAGGCAATACTGACTGCCAGGGACCTAATCAGTATAGATATAACTAAGACGTCAGAACTACAGCACAGAATAACAATTATAAATGATACTAGCTGGACTTGAAAAAAGCATAGAAGACACTAGAGAATCTCTTTCTAGAGACATAAAAGAACTAAAATCTAATCAAGTCAAAATAAAAAATGCTATTAATGAGATGCAATAAAAAATGGAGGCTCTAACTGCTAGGATAAATGAGGCAGAAGAGAGAATTAGTGATATAGAAGACAAAACGATGGCAAATAAAGCAGCTGAGAAAAAGAGAGATAAGCAACTACTGGATCACGAGGGCAGACTTCGAGAGATAAGTGATACCATAAAACAAAACAACATTAGAATAATTGGGATCCCAGAAGAAGAAGAAAGAGAGAGAGGGGCAGAAGGTATACTGGAGCAAATTATAGCAGAGAAGTTCCTTAATTGGGGGAAGGAAACAGGCATCAAAATCCAGGAGGCACAGAGAACCCCCCTCAAAACCAATAAACATAGGTCAATACATGGACATATAATAATAGCAAAGCTTGCAAATCTCAGAGACAAAGAGAAAATCCTGAAAGCAGCTTGGGACAAGAGGTCTGTAGCCTACAGGGGTAGCTTACGGCAGCAGACCTATCCACAGAGACCTGGCACGCCAGAATGGATTGGCATGATATATTCAGGGTGCTAAATGAGAAAAATATGCAGCCAAGAATACTTTATAAAGCAAGGCTGTCATTTGACTCAAAATAGAAAAAGCAGCTTTGCGCAGTGGCAGTATTGTAGCCAATGAGGTTTATCCGAGGCGCGATTATTGCTAATTCAAAATAGAAAAAGCGGTAAAAAGCTTCCAGGACAAACAGAAAATAAAAGAATTTGTGATCACCAAACCAGCGCTGCAAGAAATAAAGGGGGTCCTGTAAGTGAACAGAGAACTGAAGAGTAACAAAGACCAGAAAGGAACAGAGACAATAGACAGAAACAGTGACTTTACAAGTAATAAAACGGCACTAAAATCATATCTTTCAACAGTTGAATGTAAGTGGGCTAAATGCCCATTCAAAAGACACAGGGTATGAGAATGGATAAAAAAGCAAGACCCATCCATATGCTGTCTGCAAGAGACTCATTTGAGGCCCAAAGACACCTCCAGATTGAAAGTGAGGGGGGTGGAAAACCATTTATCATGCTAACAGACATCAAAAGAAAGATGGAATAGCAATCCTTTTATCAAACAAATTAGATTTTAAACCAAAGACTGTAACAAGAGATGAGGAAGGACACGTAATTAAAGGGTCTATCCAAAAAGAAGAGCTAACAATTATAAATATTTATGCCCCTAACATGGGAGGAGACAAATAAAAAAACCAATTAATAACAAAGTTAAAGAAACCCACTGATAATAACACATTAATAGTAGGGGACTATAACACCCCACTCACAGTAATGGACAGATCATCTAAGCAGAAGATCAACAAGGAAACAAGAGCTTTGAATGACACACTGGACCAGATGGACTTCACATATATATTCAGAGCATTCCATCCTAAAGCAACAAAACACATATTCTTCTCAAGTGCACATGGAACATTCTCCAGAACAGATCACATCCTGGGTCACAAATCAGGTCTCAACCGGTACCAAAAGATTGGGATCATTCCCTGCATATTTTCGGATCACAATGCATTGAAACTAGAACTCAATCACAAGAGGGAATTTGGAAAGAACTCAAATACATGGAGAATAAAGAGCATCCTAGTAAAGAATGAATGGGTCAACCAAGAAATTAAAATAGAATTAAAAAATGCAAAAAAATTCTATTAAAATAGAATTAAAAAATGAAAATACAAGTGTTCAAAACCTTTGGGAAGCAGCAAAGGCGATCCTAAGAGGGAAGTATACAGCAAACAAGCCTTTCTCAAGACACAAGAAAAGTCTCAAATACACAACCTAACGTTACACCTAAAGAAGCAGGAGAAAAAACTATAAATAAAGCCTAAACCCAGCAGAAGAGAATTAATAAAGATTAGAACAGAAATCAGTGAGATAGAAACCAAAACTTTGCTTTATAAACCAAAGAACAGTAGAACACACCAACAAAACTAAGAGCTGGTTCTTTGAAAGAATTAGTAAGTTCAACAAACCCTCAGCCAGACTTATGAAAAAGAAAAGAGAAAGGACACAAATAAATAAAATCATGAATGAAAGAGATCACAACCAACACCAAAGAAATACAAACAATTATAAGAAAATATTATGAGCAAATATATGCCAACAAAATAGGCAATCTGGAAGAAATGAATATATTCCTAGAGATGTACTGAACCAGGAAGAAATAGAAAACCTGAACAGACCGATAACCAGCAAGGAAACTGAAGCAGTAATCAAAAATCTCCCCACAAACAAGAGTCCAAGGCCAGATGGCTTCCCAAGGGAATTCTACCAAACATTTAAAGAAGAATTAATACCTATTCTTCTGAAGCTGTTTCAAAAAACAGAAATAGAAGGAAATCTTCCAAATTCATTCTATGAGGCCCACATTACACCTTGATCCCAAAACCAAAGGTCCCACCAAAAAGAATTACAGACTGATTATCCCTGATGAACATGGATGTTGAAATTCTCACCAAGATACTAGTCAATAGGATCCAAGAATACATTAAAAGGATTATTCACCACGATCAGATAGGATTTATTCCTGGGCTGCAAGGGTGGTTCAACATTCGCAAACCAATCAATGTAATATACCACATTAATAAAAGAAAGGACAGGAACCATATGATCCTTTCAATAGATGCAGAAAAAGCATCTGACAAAGTACAGCAACGCTTCTTGATTAAAACTCTACACAGTGTAGAGATAGAAGGAATATACCTCAGTATCATAAAAGCCATCTATGAAAAGCCCACAGTAAATATCATTCTCAATGGGAATAAACTAAAGCTTTTCCCCTAAGGTCAGGAACACAACAGGGATGTCCACTCTCACCACTGTTGTTCAACATAGTACTGGAAGTCCTAGCCTCAGTAATCAGACAACAAAAAGAAATAAAAGCATCCAAATTGGCAAAGAAGTCAAACTCTCACTCTTTGCAGATTACATGATTCTGTAAGTAGAAAACCCAAAAGACTCACCCCAAAATTGCTAGAACACATACAGAAATGCAGCAAAGTGCCAGAATACAAAATCAATGCACAAAAATCAGTTGCATTTCTATATACTAACAATGGGACAGAAGAAAGAGAAATTTAGGAGTTGATCCCATTTACAATTGCACCCAAAACCATAAGATACCTAGGAATAAACCTAACCAAAGAGGCAAAGAATCTGTATTCAGAAAACTATAGAACAGTCATGAAAGAAATTGAGAAAGACACAAAGAAATGGAAAAACCTTCAATGCTCATAGATTGGAAGAAGAAATATTGTTAAAATGTCTATGCTACCTAGAGCAATTTTACATTCAATGCAATGCCTATCCAAATACCATCAACTTTTCTCACAGACCTGGAATAAATGATCCTAAAATTTCTATGGAACCAGAAAAGATCCCGTATAGCCAAAGGAATGTTGAAAAAGAAAAGCAAAGCTGGCAGCATCACAATGCCGGACTTCAAGCTCTATAACAAAACTGTAATCATCAAGACAGGATGGTACTGGCGCAAAAACAGAAACATGGATCAATGGAACAGAAAAGAGAGCCCAGAAATGGACCCTCAACTCTATGGTCAACTTATCTTCGATAAAGAAGGAAAGAATATCTAGTGGAAAAAAGACAGTCTCTTCAACAAATGGTGTTGGGAAAATTGGACAGCTACATGCAGAAGAATGAAACGGGACCATTTTCTTACACCATACACAAAAGTAGACTCAAAATGCATGAAAGACCTAAACGTGAGATAGCAATCCATCAAAATCCTAGAGGAGAACACAGGCAGCAACCTCTGTGACCTTGGCTGCAGCAACTTCTTGCTAGACACATCTCCAAACACAAGGGAAACAAAGGTAAAAATGAACTATTGGGACTTCACCAGGATAAAAAGTTTTTGCACAGCAAACAGTTGACAAAACCAAAAGACAACTGACAGAATGGGAGAAGATATTTGCAAATGACCTAGCAGATAAAGGGCTAGTATCCAAAATTTATAAAGAACTTATCATACTCAAAACTCAAAGAACAAATTACCCAATCAAGAAATGGGCAAAAGAGATGAACAGACATTTCTCTAAAGACACACAAATGGCCAACAGACACATGAAAAAAATGCTCAACATCACTCGACATCAATACCACAATGAGATATCACCTCACACCAGTCAGAATGGCTAAAATTAACAAGTCAGGAAATGACAGATATTGGCGGGGATGCGGAAAAAGGGGAACCCTCCTACACTGTTGGTGGGAATGCAAGCTGGTGCAGCCACTCTGGAAAACAGTATGGAGGTTCCTCAAAAAGTTGAAAATAGAGCTACCCTATGACCCAGCAATTATACTACTAGGTATTTACCCTAAAGATACAAATGTAGTGACCTGAAGGGGCACCTCCACCCCAATGTTTATAGCAGCCATGTCCACCATAGTGAAACTATGGGAAGAGCCCAGACGTCCATTGACAGATGAATGGATAAAGAAGATGTGGTATGTATATATATACATACACACAATAGACTACTACTCAGTCATCAAAACAAATGAAATCTTGCCATTTGCAATGACATGGATGGAACTAGAGGGTATTATGCTAAGCGAAAGTCATTCAGAGAAAGATAATTATCATATGATCTTACTCATATATGGAATTTAAGAAACAAAACAGAAGATCACAGGGGAAGGGAGGGGAAAATATAACAAGAGAAAATCAGAGAGGGAGACAAACCATAAGAGACCTTAGTCATAGGAAACAAACAGGGTTGTTGGAGGAGATAGGGTAACTGCGTGATGGACATTAAGAAGGCACATGATGGGGCGCCTGGGTGGCTCAGATGGTTAAGCGTCTGCCTTCGGCTCAGGTCATGATCCCAGGGTCCTGGGATCGAGTCCCGCATCAGGCTCCCTGCTCCTTGGGAGCCTGCTTCTCCCTCTGCCTCTCTCTCTCTCTGTCTCTCATGAATAAATAAATAAAATCTTAAAAAAAAAAAAAAAAGATTAAAAAAAAAAAAAGAAGGCACATGATGTAATGAACACTGGGTATTATGTAAGACTGATGAAATCACTGAACTCTACCTCTGATACTAATAATACACTATATGTTAATTAACTAAATTGAAATTTAAAAAATACGGATAAAAAACAACATGGAAGTCACATGGGGAAAAGAGAGACTTTAAAAACTTTTTCAAAAAGTAACATTTGTATCTTTATAGTACAGAGAAGATAATACTATATCCATGAAATGAGAGAATATTAACAAAATGAACATTCAGAGAATGATCTTGGAAATTAAACATAAAATACTAGAAATAAACTCAACAGAAAAGAAAGAATTTAAAGTTGAAAAAAATGTCTCAAATGTAGAGCAAAAACACAATGTGACAGAAAACAGGAAAAAGGTAAGAAAGAATATCAGTCCTGGAAGTCAAATTCCAAATAAAGGGGCTCCAAAGAAAACGGAAGAGAAGATACACTGAACACAAATTTTCCTAGAACAAGAGGCTCCAAACTGAAAGGGTTCAACACAATGGATGAAAAGAGCATCATAATACACCATGGCACATCATCATAAAATTGTAAAAACATTGAAAGGTTAGAAGGAAATGGAACAATGCCTTCACAATTCTGAAGGAAAATTATTTCTAACATGGAATTTTATATCCATCAATCTATAATCAAGTGGGACTAGAATCATGACACATTCAATAAGCAGTGACCAGAAAATAACTCACCTTCCACACACCCTT